GAAAAACAAGTCACTATATTTTCAGCTGATGGTGATAATTTCTTTATTGTAGCTGATACTGATTTCCACAAGACATTGCTATCAAAGGACTAAACTCCATGCAAATCACTTTTGTATATAAATAAACTCAGCTAACTGTAGCATTCAGGTAAGTATCACTCCTCCAAAATATGACATCCCTCAAAGAACATTTGATGACATTAGCTTTCCTAGCTCTCCAGATGAGAGCAAATGCAGGCATTTAATTTCTTTTTTTTTTTTCATTTTTTAAATGAGATATTTGAAAGTCTGAAATGTCTTTAATCCCAGATATTACTGTTACTGAATTGCTACAGCATGGCAAAAAAGCAGTGAAAATACCCAGTGGGATAGCCAAAATTAACCTTCTGTATTTAAACAGTAGTGCCTCTGTGTGTAACCCAGGTATCTGTGATATCCAAGACACGATAAAATCAGGAACAGCGTACCCAAACTGCAAGCTGGCTAAAATATGAAGCTTCACAGGGTTAACACACTAGCTTAGAGAAAAGGGGCAGCTGCCCCAAAGCTTATAGCAAGATTAGGGCCTTATTGTGTGGTTATTTTCTCGTATAAGCTACTCTTCTAGTTTGGGGCAAGGCAGGCATAGCTGAGCTATAGCTATAGCTTCTCTCTTGAAATAAGTTGGTTTGTGTTGTTGCTGTTGGGGATTTTTGGTAAAAACAGGATTAATATTTAATTTACAGTTTTAGGGATTTTTGTGAGGATGAAAGAACTTTTACCATAGTGGGCTCTTATCCTATAACAGTACTGGTTTTTTTAGAACTTCAAAAAGCAAACATCAATAAATAAATAAAAATGTCTTTTTCAATGAAAAATGTCCCCCAGCTCAATAAGCTGCAGTGGGCCTGTCAGCGTGTCCTCCATCAGTATGTCCAAAGGATGCTAATGTGGCTTGACCTGCCACGAGCACAAGGAGAAGCCACAGGATCCCCAGTGTAAGTTTCTGATCATATGAGATGTAATTCCCAGGGAGATATAAAACTGCTACTTGAAAGCAGACATTGTGGGAAATGCTCCCAGAGCCAGCCAGGCAGACAGCTGCAGCCAGGGTGACCGCACTGTGCTTGCTTGCCTTTAGGATGTCAGAGGTGTTGGGGTTAAATGGTTAAACCAGTTGTTAACTCTAAGATGTGTGCCTGAACCCAGCATGCTTGTCGTCCCCCCCCTCCCCCCCAAGCTTGTCAGAGAAATTATAAAACCTTAAGCAGCTTAAGAGAGGGATATTACACAAATGAACATTCTTGGCTCTGTACGAACTGCGTGTGGATTGCAAAGGCTGGGATTTACAAGTGGGGGAACTTCAGAGTGGGTACCCAACATGGGTTTGCAGGTACAGTCACTTAAGACAAACACACTATAGCAGAGTTGTTTCACTAGTGCAGCACCCAGACTGCTTTGGGTCTGCCCAGCATGGTCAGAATAACATTGAATAAAAAGCATCAGCTAAGCAAGATCAGGAGAGATGTCCAGTGGAAGAGATTTAGAAGTTTAGTCCAAGAGCACCGGATACTTTTGGCTGTTACTTATAGTATCAGATTGCCACCTTGTTACTTGTGAAAACACTCTGTTGCAAAGACTTTTAGATATTGAGAAATACTGTCTTTGTCACTGGTTTTAAAGATTTTCCGCACATGATATTCGTGTTTTGCCTGGGGTAAGGATATGCTTTGTGCTCAGAGAGCCTATCTAAGACAAAAAATGAACACAAAAAGCAAGGGAGTATAGTTGCTTTTTGTTCCTCAGCTGTGGTCATCCTTGTGTACCATGAGGCTATTTGATACTTGGGATGGTGCCGGAAAGGCTTTTTCAGAATTTATGGTGGGTGAAATTCGCAGAGGGCTGGTGTAAGGCCTTATTAACCATGATTCACACTGGGTTTTTAAGGGCTTTGCCCTGTTTAAACTTATTACTGGTGAAACAGTGAACTTTGCTAAAGGCGTATACAGACAATATCCAGTAGTGAACCCAAACAAGCGTAACTTTCAGTAAGATACCATTTAAAGCAGTGACTTGAAACATGTGTTTTGTATCCTATCAGTTGAACTCTTCTCAGTGGGAGACTGTTCATAACTGAGAGGTGTAGAACCAACTAACTTCACACAGAAGAATCCTGTCTTATTCCCTCATCTTTCCTCCTTTCTTTCCACGCAAAGCTTATTTTGTAGAAACTCATTCTTGTAATAGTTAGAAAGAGTCATAATTTCTTAATGAAATTCCTTGCTTCTGACACACTCTGTAAAAAATAGCAACCCCTTAAGTAGACATCTGTTTGGAATTTTTGCAATGCTTAATATTTCCCAGAATAGGGCCGTAAATAGTCTTCTGCTAGCTTTAATGTGCTAGCCGTTGTAACTTGTGCTTGCTTTGGTCAGCCATAGACTTTTGTATAAGAGTTACAAGGAAAGATCAGAAGTGGGGCTGGGAATGGGAGCTACAAATTGCTGTGAGCAAGTATACTTCTCATTATAAAATATGGAAGAGAGATGAGAGATTTAGAAGTTTTCTGAAGGGTCTGGCCCCCAGTGACTGTGAGCTGGGAAGAGGACTATAGTTACCTGTTGCAAAGAGAAGTAAATTACCATCCAGGACAAATAAAACAGCAAATACAGGCAGAAGCCGTGGGAAGGAAAATAAGAGCAAGCTGCTGACTACAGAACAGTGCTATTGAAGGCTTGCAACCTGGGAGCTTACAGTTATGTATATGCTTCCCTGAGATTGCCACAGTGGGAGGTGGTGCAAAGCCTAAGAAGGCTGGAAGCCAAACCTGAGAAGGAAAGGTTGGGAACAGCAGATTTCCTCTGGGACTTGAATTGTCCAGAATAGGTGAACTGAATCAGGGGACCAGGCCCTCCAGTAGCTGAACTGCTGAAAGCCTGGAAGGGAAACCTGAGGCAGAATAGCTGTAGCGTCACATCACAAGGCGATAAGATACACTGCAGATCTGCATCCTGCTAAGTTGAACTACTTTTTATCCCTTGGAGAAAGGACTCATTAGCCCTTTTAATTATTTTCTGAACCGCTAGAACTCCAGATGCCATTATGTTATGTAAAATGACAAATGTATTTTTAACTCGTAAAGCATGTGAACTTTAAGCTCTTTCCAGTGATACAAGTACAGCTCCATTTCAATGCATGACTCATCTTCACATGTAGGAAAAACTCAGCATTTCACATCCCTATAACTACACTCTGTGCACCAGCGAGGAGCGACAGTTGCTGTGGGAACCATCACTTTTAATATCCTGACTGTGCATACAAAAGCGCAAAGAAATACCGTCGGCTTATTTGGCAGAAAAGGTCGCCTTTAATAACAGCACCGACTATTTCGGTAGCCATAGCGCCTGAAGGATCACAGTCTGTCCAGCATCGAGTCCCAGTGCTTTGCTCCATAGCAATAGCCCTACTGTTTAAAACAGGTTTCAGAGCGAACGCGTCAGTCCTTTCCCCTTCCTGCAACGAGCGGTCGGGGGGGAAGGGGCCGGCGGTGCCCCGGGCCGGGCCTCCCCTCCCCGCCACCGCGGGGGCGCGCTGCGGCACAAGCCCGGAGCCACCGAGGCAGCTTCGTCCCCCTCCGGCAGGGCCGTTTACCTCAATAAATACCTTAAAAACGCCGCCCTGCGCAGGGGATGTTCCCCGCAACCCGCTCGTCCTTCCCCGGGGGAACCTGTCGCCCTGCCCCACGCAGCCCCGATGAGGCGGCTCCCGCTCCCCTCCCAGCCCTCTGCGGGGCC